GTGCCCACCACCGTCGTGGACTGATGTAGTGCCCGCCGTCGTAGCTTCATGCTCACCTTGCCTGCCCATCATTGTCGTGGTGCGCTGGTATACGAGAGCCCACCACCGTTGTCAACTGATGTAGTGCCCGCCGTTGTAGCTTCATGTTCACCTTGCCTGCCCACCATTGTTGTCAAATTGTGAATACTACACCAGACTTACTGTTATTCTTTTGTAATACAAGTATAGCTAGTAATCCATCATTGTCGTAAATTTCCGTGACTCACCTTTGTACACAATGGCTGTTGGATTGTTGTCCATACTTTGTTACGTACAAAGCAACTAGGGCTGAATCAAGCCCAATGTAAAGCCTGACCCTCCGAAGGAATATGACGGTCGAGCGGATCTCGATGCGTATCAACGGTACGTTGAGCAAAGTGTTGAGTACCTAATAGACGGTATGATTGTCAGGGATCGACATGTGTCGAAGATTGGACATTACCTGAGCGGGAATGCCCAACAGTTCTTCAAGCGGGTCGTCAAGAGCCCAGAGGAGTGGACCGTCCGGGAATTTTTCAATGAGCTATTCAACTATTGCTTCCCGGATGGATTCATGAACGAGATTCGAAGGCGCTGGAGGAGCTGGCGCCAGCGCAAGTCGTCCGTTAAGGTATATGCAGCCGCGATGGAAGGATTCCGCGATGATTTAGGGGACGAGATTTCGGATCGTCAGTTTGTGCAGCGGTTCTGGGAAGGACTAGATGACGAAATCAGCCGCGAACTGTATCGAGATCGACTACATCCTGACATTGACACGTACGAAGACGTCCTGGAGTGCGCTATTGTCGCCGAACGTGCTATCAACAAACCCTCCATCGTGGAGGCTCCTTGAACAGTAGTCAACCCCCTGGGTCGCAAGGTCCGGGAGGCGGAAGTAGTGGTCATGGCAATCAGAGTGGATCCGGTGGTCGTGGTGGCCGCAGCGGATCCGGAAGTGGAAGTGGCCGGAACGGTAAGGGTCGCGAGATCCGTCCTGGTGCTGGCCCGCACAGAAGCCCCGATGGTGGGACGTCGCCAGGGGTCGGTCCTGAAAAGGACTCATCAAAACAGAAGGATAAGAATGCAAAACGGAGCTCACCGTTGTCGCGAGACCAAATGAAGGAACATCTTGAGAATAACTTGTGCTTCAAGTGTCATAAGGCTGGGCACATGAGTCGCAACTGTCCTGAAGGTCAGCAGGTGAAGAGCGACACGAAAGGACGTGCACCGGGTGCCAAGACAAGCTATGCGATCAATTTCGCGGAGACGGGAGAGTCCGAAGACGATGCAGAGACGCCGGTTGGTGATCCAGAGGTCATGGATGAGCTGCCGTGCGGCTCCATTCGGTGGCGCTTAACGGAAGATGACGATCTGCTATCGGAGCAGGGGGCCGATGAAGTACCTCCGCATGATGATGGACTCGACCCGAGCGGGAACCCACCGCCGTACGAGGAACGGCGCTGGGCCCAGGAGGAGGCACGTACCTGGTACACGCCGTATAGGGACGATTGGCGTCAAAATATGCTGGATTACCTGCAGACCCGTGGTATCACGGCGGCTGTCCGAGCCGCGTGCGACGCTTATGAGCGCCAGGATGTTGATCCTAACTTTGTGTGTCCGGACGCTGTGCGAGAGCATCGGCTTGAGCGCGATGCCTTTGTCGAAGGTTCTTCTCGGTTTGGCGACCCCGCTGCTAATCGGATAGGTTCTGTCGTCGAGGCTCGCATCGACCAGCTACCGCATTTGTGGGATATCTGGACAAATGAGTTTGCGATCGCATCATGTATGATTTTGTTGGCCGATGGACGTACCCCTTGGGTTATGAATGACGCCCGCCTAGACCTTCCTATTGTTATCCCTAATGAGTTGCTGATCCGCCGTGGTTTTGACTTTGTCAATTGGTATCGAGTGCGCATGCGAGAGTTCGTTGCGCTGGCTCGGAGATTCGAGCGCGATGAGGTTGGCTTCGAGGACGTGGACTTCCTCTGGGATTGGAACTGGGGTGTTCCTAGGGAGGCAGTCGATCCTGAAGATGAGGATGCCGCAAGTGAGGCAGGAGATGCCGGGAGCGATGACAGCTCTGAGGATGGCGATTACCCACCGGGTGCGCGGTTTAACATCCCTTCGGACGACTCCAATGACGATCTCGTAGAAGGCGAGATGTTCGAGATCGACGGCACTCTCTACATGCTGGGTGCTGATGATACCCTCTGGTTTCGCTCTGCAAGTATCAGGCTGGATGTCGATGGAAGTAAGGAGGCAGGTCGTCGACTTGCAGCAGCGCGCGTGAAACAGCCTCCTAAGGACAGCTTTGCATCACTTCAACGCAACGCGTCTCGAATTAAAACCTCAGGGCGTAGGGTCCCGAGGCCCATCGTTATCACAGTGCGTGTTAACGGCCACGAGTGCCGTGCCCTGCTAGATTCAGGATCTCTCGGCGATTTCATGTCAACGACTCTCGCTGAACAGTTAAAGGTCCAGAAAACCCCACTTGATACTCAGATTACTGTGCAGCTCGCGGCTCAAGGATCCAAGACTAAGGTGAACTACTATACCACAGTAGATCTACAGTATGCCCGGATTTCATGTCAGCGTGTCTTCGACATAATGAATATTGACGGCTATGATCTGATCCTGGGCACGCCGTTCATCTGGCAGCACAGGATCATGTTTGGGCTGAACCCTTCGCGGGTGATTGTGGGATGCGAGGAGCCTGAGGTCATGCGAACAGGCGAGGATGTTGGGGAACTCGCATCCCGAACTGCTAAGCTCCGTGAACGGTCTATTGAAGAGATCCGGCGAGAGCTCCATGAATACGCAACGCCGTTGTACCAAAAAGCGGCGGAGACGACGTTACCTCCTCTGCGGCGAGTGAATCATCGCATTCCTATTATAGATAAGGAGAAGCGGTACCCGTTTCGTGCCTCTAGGTGTCCTGAAGGGTTTCGTGAGCAGTGGAATGCGAAGCGGGACATTTTCTTGAAGTCGGGACGATGGGAGTACGCGAGCGGCGTAAATGCATCTCCTATCATGTTCCTCAGCAAGCCCTCAGGTGGTATGCGAAATACTGTTGACCTACGAGCTCGGAATGATAATACAGAAAAGCTGGCATCGCCTCTCCCGGATCAGGATGGCATATGCCGCCGCGTCGCAGCGAGCCGGTATTTCACGGCAATGGACTTGGAGGGCGCATACGAGCAGGTTCGAGTGGAGCCGGAAGACGTCCAATACACGCTAATGGCGACGCCGGACGGTACGATGGTGAGCCATGTCTTGCAGCAAGGTGACTGCAACGCCATCGCAACGTTCATGGCGGTAATGACTGACATGTTCTCGCCGTACCTAACCGTATGGCTGGAAATCTATCTAGACGACCTCATTGTGCATAACGATGATCTCGAAGAACACGTACGTTGCGTAAAGCAGGTCATCAACATTCTTCGCCGAAATCAGTTCTACCTATCGGAGAAAAAGATGCACTTTCTGGCTGACGAGATCAAGTTGCTTGGACAGATCGTGTCGCGGAAGGGTATCAGGCTTGATCCGGTGAAGGTTGAGAAGATACGCACATGGCATGTGCCGACCAATCGCGATCTCCTTCGTGGCTTTCTCGGCGCTGTTGGATACCTCGCAGACGGATGTGCTGGGATACGTGTCCCAATGGATGTGTTGAACCGGCTGACTGGTGACAAGGTAGTCTATCGCTGGGGTCCAACGGAGCAGCGCGCGTTCGATGATATCCGTGACATTGTCGACGCTCACCGGAATGTTCATCGCGTTGCGATGCGGTACGGGCCGGGGGCACCGCCGGTACATGTGGTCACTGATGGGTGCCTCACGGGCGTGGGTGGCTGCATCTTGCAAGGGCCGGACTGGAAATCGGCCGCGGTAGTCGCGTTTTATTCGGCAAAGTTGTCCGCGGCGCAGCAAAACTACGCGGTACACGAGATTGAATTGTTAGCTGGTCTCGAAACTATGCTGCGCTATCGGGACTTACTGCTAGGCGTCCCTTTCACCTGGTATACGGACCACAAGGGGCTGATTCATTTCATGAATCAGAGAAACCTGACTGGGCGTCAGGCGCGATGGCTGGAAAAGCTATCAGAGTTCGACTTTACGATCGTCTACGTCCCGGGTCTGGAGAATGAACTTGCGGATGCGTTATCGCGCATCTATTCCGACGACGAGCCCGGTATAGTACGATCAAAGAATGAAATGGTCCAGTATGACGAGGACCATCCCCCGCGCGGCAGTGTCATGCCCGTACTCACCGGTCTGGAAGCTCGGATGGCGTCGTTGCGACCTCGTACTCCACGCGCAGCAGTGCGAGGGCCAGTGATGCTACAGTCGTCTGAGATGCCGTTGTTGGCGCGTTCTGCCGTTGCACCGACAACTCGGAAACAGGTTGCTCCACAACCGGCTGAGACGGGACGGCCGGAGACTGCCCAAGAGTTCGCAAAGCGTATCAAGAAGGTGACGCTGCGTCTTCCGGAGCAGCGTCAGGAGGGCGGGCATGGAGGAATACATGCACAAACTGATGCAACAGGAAAGAAACCACTGAACAAAGAGACAGACGATGACGAAGCGGCCGCCATGGCTCCGAAGTTCCTTGATATCATAGCAGAATATGATGGAAACATTCGGTTTCCGGAGTGTCTGAAAGGTAAATACACGGAAGATCCGTTTTTCAAGCTTATACTTGAGAATCCGTCTCAGTTCAAGAATTTCACAATCGAAGACGACACGATGTACTTGAAAGATGAGGGCTCGAAGGTCCTATGCGTTCCTGGATGCATGATAGGGCAGCCCTAGTTGCTTTGTACGTAACAAAGTATGGACAACAATCCAACAGCCATTGTGTACAAAGGTGAGTCACGGAAATTTACGACAATGATGGATTACTAGCTATACTTGTATTACAAAAGAATAACAGTAAGTCTGGTGTAGTATTCACAATTTGACAACAATGGTGGGCAGGCAAGGTGAACATGAAGCTACAACGGCGGGCACTACATCAGTTGACAACGGTGGTGGGCTCTCGTATACCAGCGCACCACGACAATGATGGGCAGGCAAGGTGAGCATGAAGCTACGACGGCGGGCACTACATCAGTCCACGACGGTGGTGGGCACTGACATACCAG